ATGGGAGCTATATCCAAATCTGAACCGATATCGATAAAATTTGGCACATTTATTTCTAGGCTGTATTTGATATATTTCCCCAAATATTGTTGTTATAGAGTTCATATTACGGCTGCGGAGGACAAAAATAACAAATCGGATGAACAATATATATGGGAGCTATAGCTATATCTGAACCGATTTCGATAAAATTTGGCATACTTATTTTCAGGCCTAATTTGGTTTTATGTGCAAAATTTCATACAATTCGGGCTGATATTATACGTTTGGTGCACAATAAAAAGCAAATCGGACGAAGATGTATATGGGAGCTATATCTAAATTTTGACCGATTATCTCCAATTTCAATAGGGTTCGTCGTTGGGCCAAACAAATGATCTGTGCAAAATTTCATCTGGATTGGGCAATAAATGCGACCTGTATTTTGTTTACAAAAACACATGGATAGACGGACGGACAGACGGACATGCATAAATCGACTCAGAATGTGCTTCTATGCAGATCAACTATGGAACTATGGGTCTATCTCGTTTCCTTTTGCCTGTTACAAACAAATGCACAAAGACATAATACCCTGACCATCTTGTGGTGTAGGGTAAAAACAGCTAAGTTCGACAGGGCGAACTTAGGAACTTGAAAAATTTCAAACTTTATATAGGGGCTATACGAAGACGAAATTTGAGGCAATTTCGGTGAAGAAGGTTGCTGGAAATACCGAACATCTGGGGGTAGCGTTATATGAGTGTTATGCAAAAACGTATACCTATATAGACAAATCTCTTTCAGGGAGTAAAGTACTCACAGAGAACTCCGTATGTGGATTTTCAGACTATTACCTTGAAAAAATGTTGATAAAATCATCAAAATACCCAATATCGGGGGCAACATTGTATGGGGGCTATACGATATCGTGGACCTATATAGACAATTCTCCTTCAGGGGGTTAAGTACTCAGAAGGAACTCCTTGTGGCATTTTAAGCCAATTCTTGATTGAAAAATGTGGTTAAAATTATGAAAATACCGAATATCGGGAGGTACAGTTATATGGGGACTATACGATATCGTGGAGCTATGTAGACAATTCTCTTTCAAGGAGGTAACGTACTCACAGAGAACTCCTTGTGTACCATTTCAGACTATTCCATTAAAAAATGTGGCTAAAATCATCAAAATATCGAATATCGGGAGGTATAGTTATATGGGGGCTATACGATATCTTGGACCGATATAGCCCGTCTTCGAACTTGACCTGACTGCATACAAAAAACTGATCTCTGCATCTAGCTTCCTATCTTAATTGCTTTTGACTCTAGCGTGATTACAACAGATGGACAGACGGACGAACGAACGGGCAGAGCTAAATCGTCTTAGAATTTTGCGATCAAGGATATATATACTTTGTTGGGTCTAAAATTATTATTTCGATGAGTTACAAACAGAATGTCGAACTTAATATAACCTCCATACTATGTATGGTGAAGGGTACAAAAAAGAGTCTTGAAATAACTGATTGGCTGACTGACCTAAAATCATCGCCCAGACAAAACAGTTGACAATAGAATCTTAAAATTTTGCACGAGGGTCAGTATTGGTGCGTTGGCGTGTGATAATGCTGGGTTATAGGAAATTCGTACTCAGAGGGTACGAAATGTATCAAAATGTACTAAATATTTAATACTTCTGATGTAGTGCAGGATAGCGGTGTCCGTCCGTCTGTCCGTCTTTGGAAATCACTCTAGCTACCGAACGAAATGAGGTATGCAGGACTTTTGGTATTGAAAATGGGCCATGTAGATCCACGTTTTGGTATAGCCACCATATAATGATACATCCCTATTTTGGGTATTTTGCCGATTTAAGCGAAATTATTCACCGGAATTCTTTCAAATTTGGTATTTGAAGTTCGTAATAGATACTACAGCATATGACAGAAAATTGTCTTTGCAGGTCCACGTCCTCGTATAGCTCTCATATAACGATAACTCCCGATATTCGGTATTTGGATGATTTTAGTGACACTATTCACCGGAATTGTTTCAAATTTTTGTGTTTGAAGTTCGTAATGGATACTACAGGTCGTGACAGAAAATTGTCTGTGCAGGTCCACATTTTGGTATAGCCCCATATAATGGTACCGCCCTATATTCGGTATTTTGATTATTTTAGCTGCATTATTCACCGATTTTTTTTCAAGTTTCGCATTTCAGTATTGTAATGGTTTATGACAGAAGTTGCCTATGCAGGTCCGAATCCACAACGGACATAATCCCCACGGGGAGAAAATCTCAATTTTTTCGCACACCCGTTTATATCCGCATTCGTTTTGGACATATCGACTATGATGGGGACTATGCCCTCTACTTTCTGGGGATTATGACCGATTTTTTCTTGGACATAATATCCATTCCATTATGGGGGTCATGACCGAAAAAAAAACGCTGTCATATTCACCATAATTGTAATACGGTAGATATGACACGGGACCTTATCATTATTCTTAAACGTATTTATTGTAGATACGCCTTTTTGTGTTTCACAAAAGCAGAAGTCAAAAAGACGTATATAACATAAATCTTCAAATAATGAAAAAAATTATTTTTTTATTTAGGAATAAATCTGTCAGTGTATAAAAAAACATCATTGGACATGTTAATAGTTTTCATTTAAAAAAAGTTTTTTGCTTCTTCCACGCAATTATGTTTTTTTAGTTAAGCCTTTTTGCATTTAGCTTAGCTTAGATATAGTAGTTTTAGGAAAATTGTATTCGATATTTTTTTTTTGTTATTAGTTTGATATAATTTTCTTACGTTTTTTACAAATGTCCTTTACATATTTAATACTACATTTTTTATACCCTACAACACTATGTGTTGGGGGTATTATAAGTTTGATTGGGCCAGAATTTATGTAACACCTCGAAATATTGGTTTCCCACATAGGAAAGTACATATGAATCTTCCTAGCTCGCCGAGCTGAGCCGATCTAGCTATGTATGTCCGTCCGTCCGTCTGTCCGTCTGTCCATGTTAATTTGTAATCACTCTACAGGTCGCAATTATGGTCCGATCTTCACGAAATTTAAAATGGGACTAGGGTCAGAATAGAACCATATTTCTTTTGGAGATGATCGCATAATATTTAGGGGTCGAAATGGACCAAATACTGAAAAAATATCGGATTTTGCAGTAGCTATACAGATCGCAATTATAGACCAATCGACGCGGAATTTCGCATGTAGCTAGAGTTTAGGGCGGGGAAGAAGCCTGCCAATTAGGGTGGTCATCGGATAATATTTAGCGGGTAAAATAGATATATTTTGTGTTGAAAAAATTCAACATTTTTCATTTAACCGCGAATATTTTAAATCACGGCGAAATCACGAAGCCATGACAAGGTTACTTCTGACCTTTACATTGATGTTAACATCCAACAAATCGGATATATAGCAAAATATGTGCGATATATATGTCTATCAAAGAAGATATGCTTGAAAGATCTCTTATATGTCGAGAACGGCTGAACTGATTTCGACAGTTCTCATTAATTCAGAATGGCCTCTTGGCAGGAAAGAAAAAACGTCTAAAAAATCGAATAAAAATATCTCTCTAAAGATGAAAATATTGATTTTGTAACATTTTCTCATATTTTTTCAATTTTTGTCATATTTTTGGCATATTTTCATTTTGAATTAAACATTTGGTAATATTTCTACAGCTAACAAAACTAAGTAGTTAGGATATCAGGATATCATATACAGATCGCATTTATGGCCCGATCTGTACGAAATTTTGCATGGGTATAAGATGAGGGTCAGAATAGAAGCCTACTCTTTTTGGAGATGATCTCCATATATTTTGGGGTTGAAATGGACCAAAAAACTGCAAAATTGTCAGCAGGTCGTAATTATCGCCCGATCCTCAGGCACATTTGAATGGGGGTTACCGGACATTGCAAAAGCCAAGCAGTTTTGGATGGCCATCCAAAAATATTCAATGTGTGAAATAGTTTGCCAACTTTTTTAGACAAAATACGAAAAGGTCCATTCCAGTGACTTTTTGCAGAATTCACAAATACAGGAAAGACGCACTTCTGACTATTTCGTTAACGCTGATTTCGTGGAAGAATATAGTCAAATGGCTGTATCTCATATAGATGCGTTTCAGTCAAAAACCAATAATAAATGTTAATCTTTTGCCACTTCTGAGAGATTATAGGTCTTTGGGAAATATTGGTTCCAGATCTAGGAAGACCATTTAAGTGCAACATCTACCAATATTACCAATATTGCTATTATTCGAAAATTAGAGAACGGAACCTGATGGTTTTCTTTTATTATTTGTCACAATATCTTGTGGAATTCTTTCGAGTATCTCGCCTATATAAACTGTATCATTTATTATAGTGTTGTAGGGTATTCAACGGTCGGCCCCGCTCGACTGTAGCCTTTGCTTACTTGTTTTTTTCTTTTTTTTTTTGTGGGGGGTGAAAAAATTTTGCTGTTAGCTTAAATTTTATAATACAGCGTTTTTTCTATACTTTTTGAACAAATAAATTTAGTATTACAGCATACTATTCGTTTTAAACCAATTTTTCTGTTTTCATTTGCAACGCCATGCCAACATCTCTCACTGCCATGGTTAACAATTATTTTTCAAAGAACTAAAACTTTTGAACTATTCATTTGATTTTGGTGACACCACGGACCACAAAGCCGCCAATCAAATTCGCATACGAACCACATTTTCTTTACTGCGCAAAACGTTTACTTCCCGGTATTTGCGTATCACACATAATATATGAAACCAAATTCTTGGCTTTTCGTCTTATCATAGCTCAAGGAAAACTACAAATTAAAAACTAAGTATTTACACGGCGTTGACTGAGTTGAGGGTTTTTTTTGCTGAAACTAAAGTTTTGTTTGCATTTTTATTTCTCCTCTTTTTCGTTCTGGTAAATTCAACAGAAAACTAATTCAATATTCTGCCTTCTTTTCATTACAGAAACTGAATAATCTTCGTGATTAGGACGTGTTGTACCCAAAAACGTTGTAATGCAGACGATATGGTAAGTTATGTTAAAACTTCATACGCATTTGTTTAAAAGGAAATGTTTATTTTGCGTTGTGTATCATATATGAAAATAAGGCAGTTGTAAGTAGATGTAAACAAATACTAGTATGCTTGACTCATGCATTTTATGCTCTTTACTAAAAATTAAATTAAATTACACAACTTAATTAAAAACATTTGTTTTATAAACAAGTAAAAAAGTAGTAAGTTCTGCTGGGCCGAACTTTGAATATCCTCAACCATTTGGAATGAATTTGGCAATTCTGAAAAAAATAAAATACGTTAAAAATTCTCTTCAAATCTTAAAAATACCGAATGTAGCCGCTATATTAGGGTCTATACGACGACGTAGACCTGCGTAAAGAACTTTTGTCATAAGCCATTAGAATATTCAAATGCGAAACTTGAAGAAAAAATTGGTGAATAATAGCTAAAATCCATAAAATACCGAATATAGGGAGATACTACTATATGGGGGCTATACAAAAACGTAGACCTGCACAAACAATTTTCCATCATATGCTGTAGGATCCATTACGAACTCCAAATACCAAATTTGAAACAATTCATGTGAATAACATCGCTAGAATAATGAAAATATTTAATATCGGGAGGAACCGTTATATGGGGGCTATACGAAGACCTGGTCCTGCACATACAATTTTCTGTCATAGGCTGTAGTATATATTACGAACTTTATATACCAAATTTCAAACTAAAAATGTCGCTGAAATCATCAAAATACCGAATATCGGGAAGTACAGTTGTATGAGGGATATACAAAGAAGTGGACCTGCAAAGACAATTTTCTGTCATAGTCTGTAGTATTCTTTACGAACTTTAAATACCAAATTTGAAACAATTCCGGTGAATAATGTCGCTAAAATCATCGAAATATCGAATATCGAAAGGAAGAGTTATATGAGGGTTATACGACGACGTAGAGCCGGACAGAGAATTTTCTGTCATAGGCTGTAATATACATTATAAAACTTCATATACGCAATTTTCCGGTGAATTCCGACAATTCCGGTGAGTAATTTCGCTAAAATCATCAAAATCCCGAATAACGGGAGGTACAATTATATGGAGGCTATACGAAGACGTGGACCTGCACAGACAATTTTCTGTCATAGGCTGTAGTATCTATTATGAAATTCAAATACAACACTTCAAACTACTCCGGTTAATAATGTCGCTGAAATCATCAAAATACCGAATATCGGGAAGTACATTTGTATGAGGGATATACAAAGAAGTGGACCTGCAAAGACAATTTTCTGTCATAGTCTGTAGTATCCTTTACGAACTTCAAATATCAAAATTTAAAACATTTCCGGTGAATAATGTCGCTAAAATCATCGAAATATCGAATATCGGAAGGAACAGTTATATATGGGCTATACGCCGACGTAGAACCGAATAGAGAATTTTCTGTCATAGGCTGTAATATACATTATAAAACTTCATACACAGAATTTTTCGGTGAATTCCGACTTCGATGAGTAATCCGATTCCGGTGAGTAATGTCGCTAAAATCATAAATATACCGAATATCGGGAGGTATAATTATATGGAGGCTATACGAAGACGTGGACCTGCACAGACAATTTTCTGTCATAGGCTGTAGTATCTATTACGAACTTCAAATACCAAATTTCAAACTATTCCGGTTTTTCTTCTGTCATAGTCTGTATTATTCTTTACGAACTTTAAATACCAAATTTAAAACAATTCCGGTGAATAATGTCGCTAAAATCATCAAAATATCAAATATCTGAAGGAACATTTATATGAGGGCTATACGACGACGTAGAGCCGGACAGAGAATTTTCTGTCATAGGCTGTAATATACATTAAAAAACTTCATATACGAAATTTTCCGGTGAATTCCGATAATTCCGGCGAGTAATGTCGCTAAAATCATCAAAATACCGAATATCGGGAGGTACAATTATATAGAGGCTATACGAAGACGTGGACCTGCGCAGACAATTTTCATTCATAGGATGTAATATCTATTACGAAGTTCAAATACCAAATTTGAAACAATTCCTGTGAATAAGGTGGCTAAAATAATCAAAATATTTAATATCGGGAGGTACAATTATATGAGGGCTATTCGAAGAAGACATGGACCTGCACAGACAATTTTCATTCGTAGGCTGTAATATCTATTACGAACTTCAAATACCAAATTTCAAACTATTCCGGTTAATAATTTCGCTGGAATAATCAAAATACCGAATATCGGGAGGTACCGTTATATGGGGGATACACGAAGACGTGGGCCTGCACGGACAATTTTCTGTCATAGGCTGAACCATTACGAACTTGAAATACCAAATTTGAAACAATTCCGATGAATAATGTCGCTTAAATCACCATAATACAGACAATAGGGAGGAACCATTATATGGGGGCTATACCAAAACGTGGATCTACATGGCCCATTTTCAATACCAAAAGTCCTTGCAGACATAATAAATATTTGAGTAACATTTTATCAATCTACTTCAAGAATTTTTATACCTTGTTGGTCCTAAAATGTATATTACCCTCCAAACTATGGTGGAGGATATAAAAACCAAAAATCGTTGTTTTATAACACGTATTGCCCATTTTTGATGCCCTCCACCTTGAAAAGGAGGATTTATTAAATTTGTCACTCTATTTGTAACATCCCTAAATATGCGTCGAGACCCCATAAAGTATATATAGGGTGAGATGAAAAAACTGCAACCAACTTCAGACTTCAGTCATTTCTAAGCCGGACGAGTCGTCATCTGTTAAAATTATCCCAGTGACAGCTCATTATATTGTTTACAAGCGTACAAAAGCATTTGGGGAGAATTTTCCAGAAAAAAAGTTATTCGTGATGGAATTCAAGCGTGATAGTGTGATTTCTTTATATTTGGCTGGAAACCCAAAAGCGGCTATCGTTACTAATCCGTTGGACTATTGGACTATTTGGTCTTTCAGTCCCTTACGTTCGTAATATGCAGCCCACAATTGTCATAGTTGGTACCAGATATCTTATAGAGCTCGGAAATACCTTTGTCAAATTTTATCTTGAACCGATCAGATTTGGATATAGCTTCCATATATATCTTTAATCCGATTTCAGGTTTATTGTGCAATTAATGGCTAATTGTTTGTAATGGAGTGGGCCGCCATAACAGCCGATGTTCGCTCTCCACTCGTAATAATCGACCGTGGCATCAGAATAATTGCCGAATGTTATCGCGAAAATATTCTCACTCAGCACGCGCCGCCCAAGAATGGTTACAAAATGACGTTCCTTGCTTCATTTCCAGCCCACAATGGCCACCAAAATCTCCGGATACCAATCCGTTGGACTATTGTGTCTGAAGTATTTTGGAAATCAAGGTTGGCACTAAAAAATTCGAAAGTGTCGATCTCCTCAAGCAAGCGCTTTGCCGCGAATGGGCAAAAATACCGCAGAGCAACATTCGGGCAGCGTATGACGGTTTTATTGGCTGTTTGAGGGCCATAATTCGAGCCAAAGGTGACCAATTCGAACAAATCTAAACTTATTCTAAAATTTGATGTTATTTTCGACATGTTTTGCTTTCATTCAATAAAATTTAAAAGAACAAAAAAATATAAAAATTTGACTTTGTTGCAGTTTTTTTTTGTCACCCTGTATATTCATAATCAGCATAAAAGTCTAAGTGGATTTAACGGTGCCCGTCTGTCTCTTTGTTGAAATCACGAAAATGTCCACATTATTTGACGTAGAATTTAAATATTTGTCAGAACTATTAATATTGTGTCTGAAATGGTTGGTATTGAAAAAGAGATATTTCGGTCCACGCTTTGGCGCATAGCCCCAATATAACGGTACCTCTCGATATTCGGTATTTTGATGATTTTTGCCACATTTTCCACGGTATTTTGGTATTTGTAGTTCGTAATGGGTTCTAGCTCAGGTGGCAGAACATGGCAGAACGATTTCATATATCGCACATATAACGATACCTAGCGATATTCGATATTTTGATAATCCAGCTTTACCCACGAAATTGTTCCAAATTTGATATTTAAGAAGATTTGGTAGATGACAATCCTTAAATTACAAAAATTGTCTATAGAGGTTCCCGTTTTGTTATGGCCCCTATATAACGGCCTCACCCACTTTATGGTCTTGTGAAAAGTTTAACCAAACGGTCCAATCTCTTTCCTATATACGTTTTGCTTAGTCGAAAATATATATTAAAATTTACCTATAAATTAGTTCCATATTTAAACAGATGACAGCGTCCACAATGTTACAATTTTAACGCTAAACCGTTCAATTTCTACAAATACCCTTTTTTGTGTTACAATTTTTAAGACATTTTTCCTAACAGCTGAAAGGCTATTGCTTGCACCACGAACAAAAACTAGATAACTTAACTTTTGCAAACTTCCCCAATGACGCAAACTAAACGAAGTAGAAATTCACTTTAAAGTTTTGCACTTTTCGTTTGGAAATGTTGTTTCATCTTCTCTATTGCATTCTCAAATCAATTAGCATTGTTAGAAAAGAAGTTCACATTCACAGAGATAAAAAGTACACATAGGAAAATACATTCACAGAGAAAAAAAGAACACAGAGGAAAGTACGGGTATCGTTAAGCGACAAAGAAAAACGGACAATAAAAGCCAATGTATTGTTCTGCACATAAATCCTCGAATTTTAATTAGTCTATAGTTTGTAATAAAAGAAATTTGATTTTGTTGTTAATTATCCTTTAATTAAGTTATAAATCCCTTTTTTTTTTGTTTTTGCAAATCAGTCTATGTTTGGTACGTGTGTGTGCTTTGTGGCACAAGCATTTAGCAGCAAATGAGAATGTCGAGAAAAATCAGGAAAGCGGGAAAAAAGGCAGCTATTGTAAAGCAATTTCAATTGGTTGAGGTTGAGGTAAAAACGGAAAATGGGAAACGAAATGCTCCGTTCTGCTCATCTCATCTGGGCTACAAACAAAA